GCAGGATTCTGCAGCCGGCAGCTTGATGTAAACAGCAGGCAGTGCACAGTGCAATAGACAGCCTACTATTGGCTATTTCAAATTGCAATAGCAGGCTGGCTATTAAACTTGTCCACTGCCTGCTGTCTATCAGCAGAGAAGCAGACCTGAAGGAGAAAGTTCTCTTTCAGGTCCACTCCTCTGCTGATTGATCTGCAGTGGCTGGGAGCAATGTCCAGTCCGCTATTGGCTATTTTAAATTGAACTTTCTCCTTCAGGCCCTCCTCTGCTGATTGACAGTGGGCAGTGGGTGGATTTAATAGCCAGCCTGCTAATGGCTACTGCAATTTTAAATAGCCAATAGCAGACCTGCTATTGCTTTCCTTGCTATCTGCTGTTTTTTTATATTTATTCTGACAGCGGCCACTGCCAGAATACCTGAACAGAGCTGGCAGCGGGCTTTGTTCTTACATAGATTTTGTGACCGGCTCCTTCAATCAGCTGATCAAGGGATGCCAGCCAGACAGCGGCACCCACTGTGTGAATTTTTTTTTTCGGTTCCGCAAGAACTGGCTGAAATTTGCACAGTGTTTATTATTTTATAATATTGGTAAATTTAACTGATACCAACAATTAAAAGATTTAGGAATACTATATTATATGTATAACATCCTTTCATTGTCTCTGTCCTCCAACCTGTGAAAGTCTCACAGTTGACACTTCTCTGGTAGTGTGGAAAAGGAGAGGATTATTGTTTGTATTCCACATTCATTTTCCCACACGCCACTTAAACATGTTAAGTGGACCATAATGATGATGAAATGTGCTGGTCATTAACAGTTTTCTCATTTATTTTTAAAGGTTTGGCAGGAAAAAGGTCCTGTTTACTACCATGGCTGTCCAGACTGGATTCAGCATAATACAAGTCTTCTCTGTCAGTTGGGAGATGTTTGCAGTGTTATTCCTCATTGTTGGCATGGGACAGATATCCAATTATGTAGCAGCTTTTATACTCGGTAAGGACGCAGTCTTATACAAGTGCTTAACATAATTTTATGTTTTTGAATGTCTAGTGTAGATAAGGCTGAGCTCCAGGCAGACAGAAAAATACAACATTGCTATACATGTATGGGGGCTGTTTTAACTGCTAACAGATTTGTATTCCTGTCCACCCAGTCTTGAGATTTACACAGTTCTGCCTAACAGTACAACCAACCTGGTGACCTGACTTTTGCTTCATACGAAACACAGGTAGGTCACCTCCTGCGCCCCATCCGTATTTGGACAGTGAAGGAGCAGCAACAGACTGATGAAGTCAGCTCTCTGCTCCCTCCTCCTATCATCTTGTTCTTTGTTAGCACATGTACAGTACATGCAGCAAAACTGGTTGGCTCCTAATGTTGGACTTTCATCTTCTTGCCTGAGTGCTGAAATAAAGTCATATTCAGTTACGTACACTAAAAAATAAATGTATGGCTTTAAATACCTAACAGCATTCATTGTTTTTTAATATCTGCCTGGAGTTATTCTGTAAATTGGGATTTTTCATGACAACCTCTAAACTTTGGACAGTCATGAACATTGTTTATTTCCAGGAAAGTTGGTGTGTTGCGGGTACTTCCTATGGGGGGGGATGATTAGCTTTTTTTGTTTTGTTTTGTTTATTTCTTTTTGGTTAAACATGTAGCTACAATTACCTACACTGCACATATTATTTATGTAGTAATAGTTATTACTAAAAACATATAATTCTGTTTTTGGTCTTCTAATTATTATACTGAGCTAATTAAGTGCTGGGTATAGAGAGCGATTTTTTTTTATTTCAATTCATGAATCTTCCCACAAAGGGATGCTTGTATTGTACAATATGTTAACATGCTATCATAGTCCATTGTACTGACAGAACTTTCTGGACATCATTTAATTAGGTGCAGAAATACTAGGCAAATCAGTGCGCATTATATTCTCTACGCTGGGAGTCTGTATATTCTACGCCATCGGATATATGCTGCTGCCACTAATAGCGTTCTTCATTAGAGATTGGCGGATGCTGCTGCTGGCCCTCACTATTCCTGGATTGTTCTGCATTCCCCTGTGGTGGTAAGTTTAGCCCTTGCTGGGCACCTCTTGCATGTTATAAGTGATTATAACTGCTCATTGCCTGCATATTGCCTGCTGCGTTTTAGATTGTAAGCCCTCACGGGCAGGGCCCTCCTTACCATCTTCTCTTGACTTGTATTGTAACTGTAATGTCTTCCTTATATTGTAAAGCGCTGCGCAAACTGTTAGCGCTATATAAATCCTGTATAATAATAATAATTTGTAAATAGTATTGAACTTAAATAGTCAACATTTTTCCGATTGCTGGAAGTCTTCTTTTCATTATACCAGTGCGTAGCTAGCGTTACTGGAGGGTTGCACATAACATTTTTAATACAATCTTCATTCATTTTACACATTGCAAAAGCATTATTTTTTATATTGAAATATACAGCCATTTTCCAAATGTGACAGTTTGTGTAAGAATTATACTGTCTTAAAGGGTTATTAAATCCTCAGGTTTTTTTTCATATATCTATGACCAGCAAGCAGTAGATATATGCAAAAACTTTTCATTTTTAAACCATTTCAAACAGGTTAAAACTTGCCTGTGTCTTCACGGTACGCTCACATCTGAAAAATCCTGGGCGGCCGCACAGGATCTTGGGGCGGGCACATGCGCAGTTCAGATTTTTGTCCGGGAGTCGACGAGAGACACAAGGTAAGTCTATGGACGCGTGCACCCGCATTCAGACAACGTGGGACAGGAAGTGCCAGCAAGGACAGAGGAGTCCCCTCCACAACAGCGCTGGAGGGACAGATGAAAACGACAGGATCGGATTAAGAGACATCATTTAAGGTAAGTGCTGACATTAACTTTGGGGGGGAGGGGAAAAAAAATATTCTTTAATGTCACTTTAACATATATTGTCAGTGCAGAAAAGTATTGCTTATTAACATCTGAAAGCATGTGATATAGCCTACCTTTAAACATTTAAAAAAATAAATATTTCACGAGCAGATGAAAAGCTATACAAAATAGTTACATCATCCACCAGATCAACCCAATATAAGCCTACCGGTACTCGGTTTGCCCTCAGGACTTCAACTATACACTCTGACAATAGATGTCGCAGGTGGCCCCCAGGAACAAGGAGAAGTACTGACTGATGTCAAGGTACAAGGAAACCAGAATACAAGATACAAGACAGGGACGGCAAACAAATACAAGACAAGAACCAAATACAAGAAACAAAACAAGTGCAGGATTAAAGATCCAAGGCAAGACTGGGTTTCAAGATCAAGGCAGGACTACGATTCAAGATTAGGATACAGGCTTGTGTAGACAGAGCAAGACTAGACTAGAACTATCACAAGTCCAGAGCCCTGGGCTTGTGATGCTTAAATAGAGCACCACTAACCAACCCCCACGTTGTGAAAGGCATGTAACCAGGCTGATTAGCCCACCGCTGACTAGAATTTGGTAGGTACAGTTACAAGAGGCAACCACCAGATGGAGCTAAGTGGTTGCAACAGGCATAGGAGCATTTGACATGCTCCTTACCGTCAGCACCTCCTTAGCTTTAAGATTTGCTATTGTTGCTGTGGTCCTCTTCAGCTCTCCTCCTCCCTGCGCACGGTGCTGAAGAAAAGCAGGGAGGTAGTGTGCATTAATCTCTATTCAGCCCCCTACCACCACCACAATAACTGTGGCCATTCTCCTTCCCTCTGTAGACTCCCAGACTGTCAGTGGTCTCTCTTCATAGGCTGTAATCGGCTGCAGCAGTGAGGAGAGACCACTGAGTCTGCATTTCACCATTGCCCCCCCTTGTCCTTTCCATGCTGTCCCCTCTTAGGATAAACTACTGCCCGCAACAGGTCTCCAATGCAGCGGCCGGTAGCGATAGCCAGCCTGCTATTGGCTATTTTAAATTGCAGGAGCCAATAGCATGCTGGCGATTGCACCAGATGCTGTTAATCAGCATCTTTCTTTCTCCATTGGGGCCCTTCTCTGCTGATTGACAGCAGGCAGTGGGCGGGTGCAATAGCTAGCTTACTATGGGCTACTGCAGTTTGCAATTAAAGTCAGTCCCCCGCTCCCGTAAACGCGAAACGCCCCCGCAAAAGAAACCTGACTTCTAACTTTTTTAGCTGGCTCCTGGATTCAAAGAAAATTTGTCAAGTCTTGCTATAAGTGATTGCCCAGCAAAGTAGGTCTTTATATTTTGCATAATCTGGATTCAATATTGAAAAAGAGTTTGAAAGTTTAACACCCCGTTCAAATAACTGATCCTTACATTTAATAAATAAATAAAGTTGGTAAGTTGCGGTAGCATTAAAGCTCAACTGCAGCCATTTTTTGTGGAGAGGAGAAGAATTATAATCTCTGTCGTGTTTTTATTGCTATCATTGTCATCTTTGTAAGGATTTCCTCTGACTCTATTAGAGATACCCTGACACGCAGGGTTTCGGTGGTACAGGAAGTGAGAAGAAATCTCAGTTAGGCAAAGCAAGAGGTTTAAACTTCCTCAATTTTACTTCTAATGTATTACTGTTTGTGTCTCTGTTGCAGAGATAGTCCTCTGAATGGGGACAGAGAGAGTAATCGAAAATCTAATACTAAGACTTCTATCTAAAATCTAATACTAGTACTAAGGTACAAATCCTTTTCCACTCTACCAGAACTAAAAAAGTTGAACATTAAAGTGAATTTTGGTTTTGTATAAATGTTCTTCATTATGTGCAGGAAAAAATAAATGTTTATAAATATTTCTTTTTTTCTAGTTGGGTAAATATATAAATATTGCATATGAATTTTTTTTTATACAGTAATACCATTTTTTGGATAAGTGTAAGTAAAAAAAAACCCAGATATTAAAACATATAAAGTATAAAATGCATAATGTAAAACATGAAACGTTTAACCTATTGTAAAATAGAATTGACATAAAAACTGTTATGATTTCCCTATAAAGATGACCAGTCATGTTACCTGCCTCAAGACTACACAACCGCAACTGTGCTGTACACTCTGGTACTGCTCACTTCCACTTTAAACACCCCTTTTCCTATATAAAGGCTGCTAAGTCTCGGCGCATATGCAAATATTTCTGACCAGCCTGAGTTGACGTGAAATGAAGTCAAGGACTGTGGCGTTTTAAGCATTTTAAGCCCGAGTTCTAATTGTATCTAATTGTATCACTGTGCCTCCAGCAGTACAAGAAATCAGCTTCATATGATTACTTTGGTTGGAAACATTTTTAGCCCAATTAGGTTATACATATTCTTAAGGAATGTAGAATAACCATTTTTCTTTAATCCTGGTTAGCAGCATGCTAGTTTCTTTGACTCGCCAACTAAAGGGACAGCACAACATTGTTTCCTGGCCCCATTTGGGTGGAATTATTTTTTGCCTATCTAACAACAATAGTATATGGCTCATGGTTTACCATTTGCTGTACCTGGTTCATTAGCAATTAATTATTCTCTAAATTCTAATACACAGCCGTTTTGTAGGGTTAAACAGTAATATATTGGCATAGCATGTTTCTTCTGTGTTAAATATTACTGATGTAAGAAACAAATGGCACACCAACACTCCAAGACTTAGCGGTCATTTTTTGAAGTTTGCAGTTTCCAGGTAGTATATTCTCTCACTGGTTAGGGTTGTTCGTTTGCAGCTTTACAGCAGTACACCTATAGCAACCAGTTGGCATCCGTATGGTGTCTTGAGCTTGAATTTTAATTGGCCGCTATGGGTTAAAGCAGAACTCCGGGTAGAATTTTTCTTAACCCTTACAATGGTGCTACTCCCGTACTTCAAGGGTTAAGTGCTTGTTTTTGTCTAGGTGCTAAAAAAAAGTTATACTCACCTAATCCTCTGAGCTGACTTGCTCTTGGAAGGGTCCCTGAGGCTTCTCTCCCTTTCCTCTGCAGTGGCCTAAGGTCCCATAAATCATCACGTTCTGCACACAGTGTATAGACTTGAGGACGCTACGGAACATTTCAATGCTGCAGCATAGGAGGAGAGAGCCTTCAGTAACTGGAGAAGCAGGGAGTCGGTTGGTTCAGGTGAATATGACTTTTTTTTTTCACAACTAGACAAAAACGAGCACTTAACTCTTGCAGTGCAGGGATAGCCCCACTGCAAGGGTTAAGAAAAATTCTGTTCGGAGTTTATCTTTAAAGCATTTAAAATTTAAAGGAGAAATATTGGGAGACTAAAATGTACTGCAGCTGTCACATGCTGGCTCTATAGATCGAGAACTGAGCAATCACAAACCGCTGATCCCTCAGTTCATTATTTTGACTGTCGCTCACCGCTCCCCAAAGGGGTTCTCCCCCCGCTCTCCGTTCCTCCAGTGTTCATTGGAGGGGCAGACAGGGAGGGGGCAGGCACAGCTGGCTCTGGCTCTAGAGAGGCAGAACTAGCTTTCAATCAGGCTGCGGGGTGGGTCCTGAGAATAGAGTCGGGATCTTTCCCAGCTGCAGCGCAGTTCTGCACTGTCAGCAAATAATGGGCAATAGTCAATTTAATCTTTTGACCCAAAAGAGGACTAAAGCCAAAAAAAGGTTTGGCTTCAGTTCTCTTTTAAGAACTTGTCAATGAAGGAAGTTGATAATCTCATGAATACCATTGTCTAAACATTTAGAAATGTTTTTTTCACCTTAAGATGGCACTGCTGTAACTTTAAACAGCAAATACAGACCATATTATCTGTTACCATAAAGCTAGATGTTATGAGAAAGGTAAATCTCTAATCTGAGACTGAGTACAAGTACCGATACTTTTCCTAAACTACTCACCGATACCAATTACTGATACTTTTTGTGTGTCATGTGACAGTTTTTCTAAAACAATACAGACTAATGATTTTAGGACAGTGGCGAAGTGCCAGGGCCCGGTCCCAACTGTGATTGTGGTAGTTCTGCCACTGACTCCATGCTGTAGAGGGAATACAAATACCAGCAATAGATTATACAGCAATACCGAATACCACCAGCTAGAGAGGACTACAAATCCCAGCAATACATTGCACAGCAATGCAGAATAATATGAAGCTAGATACTCTGTGTTGCTCAGCAGGGCTGTGTGGGGTCTCAGGAGGCTGTACAGGAAATCCAGAGGGTTCCCACCTAATTAGACATCAGAGATCAACTGTGAAAACACATGATCTGATAAATAACCCTTAATCCGAATTCATCCTAAATATAAAAAATTCATCTATTTCGAATAATAAATATACGTCAATAAATTACCAAATGTGCACATTTAAACCCCCCTCCCAGACAATTATATAAACCACAAACCCCCGACCTTTGAAACGACAACACATAATGGCCTGATGGTTCCTAGTATAAAACAATCAATTTGGTTTCATGCATGAGCCATGTATCAACATGTGATTTATCTGTGTGGGGAATGGTGTTTCTTCGGTGTATCAACGGATGGATCTCCAAAATGAGGTATTTAAGCAGCAAGTGGTTAGGATAGTTCATCCAAAAGCCTGAGCACACCATGAAATGGAAGGTATAGGGGTATGGGTGAGCTTTATCCACTGGGGAAGCCACACCAAAGTCATAGATAAACTTGTATATGGAGGTAAGGTGACTGTTCGTCTTGAGGTGCTTCCCAACATAAGCACCCTGTTACACAGTATTTCTCACCAGCATTTCAGATATAGATTTCCTTTATCAATTGTAGAATCATTTTGTAAGTATAATGTGCAAAATCACAAGGGGTCATTGTATTGCCATCCACACAAACATAGGCACTTTGTAAAAGAAAGCCGGTTCTCTGAACAGAGGCGGGTGCTAAGTCGCAGCTAAAAAGGGAAAGAACTGAAGTGGATCTCACCAAAGATGTCCATACGCCATAGAAATCCTGTTTATGCACTATGCCCGTAGTGTTCATGGATGCTGATGGAGACCACCATGATGTAATATAAAGACAGTGCTGTTATAGATCAAGTCTGCCACACACAAGGAACCCAACGGCCATTAGACGCTGTACTGTAGGTTTCTAACTCGTTTCATTATGTAAAGAACTTCCTTAGAGCTAGCACAGCTCAGGAGGCTGCGCGAGATCTCAGGAGGCTGTGTGGGGTCTCACCAGGGCTGTGTGCGGTTTTACAAGGGCTGTGTGCAATCTCACCAGGGCTGCGTGTGGTTTTACAAGGGCTGCGTGCAGGTCCTCTCAGTTTTAGGCGGTGGGAAGGAGATGTGCGGGCCGGCGCTGTAAACAGCTGCCGCTAGGTCTCCACAAGCTGCCGTAAGGTCCCAGCAAGCGTGGGACAAATGTATTTAAAAATGTTCAGCACCGGTATCGGTGCTTAGTATCGGGAGGGTGGCTACTTTTGTAACCTAAATTGTAGAAATGTCACCAGCACACCAATCCTTTTAAGGATAAAGCCTGATGAAGGGACCCTGCGCGGTCCCGAAAGCGCTTGTTTGGTCATATGACAAAAAACTTCAATAAATGAAGCTTTTGCTATCTTAAAAGGATTGGTGTGCTGGTGACATTTCTAAAATTTTGCTGACATTCGCGGCGCCATCCGCGGTCACTGCGAGCACCCCCCACTACAAGGGACATATCGGTAAGGAGTGCGACAAGGATAGTACTTACTTTTGTAACCTATCACCAAAGAGCTTTCTTTCTTCTGTGGCACAACTCTGAGCATTCATAATCTATTTTCAGGCTTGTTTATGGCTTGTGACTGTCGGCGTTCATCTTAAAAAGTAGTGTGTGTGCATTACATTTACTCTTGCATGTGTTTTTGCTTCACTGCACTTAACATTTTGTTGCAGGATTATCCCAGAGTCACCACGATGGCTGCTATCCCAAGGCAGAATTACAGAAGCTGAAGATATAATAAGGAAAGCAGCTAAGAAAAATGGCATAACGGCACCAGAAATAATATTCAGTTTATCTGAGGTAACCTACATAGCTGTACACAGTATGTTACATTTGTTTTTTATGTAGTGTGCAAATATATTAAGAGCCCATTCACACCAGTGTGGTGCTTTAATCCAACGGTTCTGTCCGATTAACGCACCCTAGCGCGTGTTACAGTGCAGGAGGTGTGTTGCGTTGCCTTTTTTAAAAATGGCACCATAAAACTCCCCTACCTCCTGCAATGTGCTGGACCACGCTGCAACCCGAGTTACCGCAAAACTGTGCATCGCGTTGCAGTTAAAGAAAGTAGTGTATACACTAATTTTTTTTTAACCGCACCGGAATGCACTGTATTTTGGTGCCACGCATTGCTGCACGGTTGATCTCATTGCGGGTGGGAATTGCACTTGGGGTGCCATTCAAAGGAATGGCAATGCAATGCATCTCCTGCACTGTTAACAAACGGTGAACGCACAGCCCTGGTTAACATCAGAGTATACGCAGGCAGCCACATACACCATTAAAGTACATAAAAGTGAACTCTTCAAAATGAATGGCTTGCATGGCTGTGCCCACTCTCCTCGAAGTGTATGTAAAGCCAATCTATTTGACTTTTGGATGGAGTGGGTATAATGAAATTAATATTTATCATGCCATTGCTAACTAAGGCTTGTATCCCCCTAGTGGGGAAAATAGATTATCACATGCCCAGACTCCAGAACAGTCTATTATTGTATAGTGTGGAACAGCTGTATCCAATTCTTCATACCTAGCTTTATATTATAAAGTTCTTATAATATAAAGCCAGGTATGCAGAATTGGATATAGCTGTGCCACACTACAGAGTGTTCATGTTCTTCATAATATTAAGAAACTGACCTAAAATCATGATTTTGTATTGCTTTAGAAAAAATGTGACCTGTCCCTTTAAGGAAAAGTATCGGTAATTGGTATCGGCGAGTACTTGGGAAAAAGTATCGGTACTCGTACTCGGCCTTAAAAAAGTGGTATCGGTGCATACCTAGATAAAACCCTTAACACATTTGTTTTGGTCATCTGTATCCCATTGAGGAATTCTCCCTTTACTTCCTGTCCTGTAAGCACAACATGAAGAGAAACACCATCTAAGTAGAATATTCAAATTATCCACATATCACTGGTACTTGCTTATTGTTGCATGCCACATATACAGTAGATCCAAGGGCAAAATAACAAAAGGAAGAAAACAGAGCACACTCTGGAAGATTTATTCTGTACCCCCGGATTGGTGTCAACTTAATATTGTGTTTTCTCTCACCTACCAGGACAAATAGTGAGGATGAATCTCTTTAGTGTAGACACAGCTAGAAAATCTGACCAAGGTTCCAACTTTTCCACACTCTATCCAAAACTAACAAGAAACGTTTTGGCGTTAGATCCACTTTATGTCAGTCAAAACTGCTTATTACTAGGGCTGGTAATGATTAAAATTTTCGTGTTCGATTAATCGAATTTTTTTTTTAATCGATTAATTTTCGATTAATTCTAACGCACATACAGATCCAACTACATTGGCCTATACACATACAGCACAGCAATGAAGTAATAAAATGAACTAGGATCCCACTAATCCAGCACGTTATTAATCTCACGTGCCCCACTCAATATGGCCGCCGCTTGAGTGGGGCAACTCAGAATAATAACGTGCTGGATTAGTGTGATCCTAGTTCATTTTATTACTTCATTGCTGTGCTGCATGTGTATAGGCCAATGCCTTGGCTGGCACTCGTGCAGAAAATTTCTTGGGCAAACTCACCGGCCCAAGTGGCCCCGTCGGCTAACGAAGGGGGGAGGAATCCGGTGACGTCATGGACATCAACGTCACCGCACTCCTCCCCCCTTCACTTCGTTAGCCGTCACGGGCATCGACGTCACCGTACTCCTCCCCCTTCCCTTCGTTAGCCGATGGAGCCACTTGGGGAAGGGGGGAGGAGTTCGGTGACGTCGATGTCCGGATCACCGACGGGACTCCCGGAAGCCAGCGGAGAGGTGAGTGTTTTCATTAGCGATCACAATTATTTTAATCGATCAAAAAGTTTAACAATTAATCGAGAAATTAATCTTTCATTTCCACAGCCCTACTTATTACTATATCTGTAGATGAAAGGGATGATGTTATATAAATACTTTGCTTTAGAAAGTCGTTGCTTTACTTCAGTATTATAGTAGAAAGGGCATGTTGGTTACCTTTAGCCTTCTCACCATAACCTGACTAGTTATGTTCTTTGAGCCACTCTTGTGATTTACAGTGTGTATTCATTCAGTGTGACAGAGGTGAGTGGATCACAAGACTAGCTCAAGAGAACCACAAATTAATTTCTATTAAAACTGTTCACATTGAGCATATTTATGTCAATAGTGTGTTTACATTTTTGCCTTTCCACTTTAAGGACTTGTACACCGGCCTGCGTGTAAAGAAGCCATTTAAACATCCTGGTTGCTGTCCAGGATGTACGGGTATTTATCTGGCTGCATAGTAATGGTTCTAGTGAGTTCTCATAATGTTGTGCAGTCAGCTCCGGTAATTGTATAGAACTTAGCTAAATAGCTAAATACTCCTGTGACACATTTAGGCCCCATTCATACCAGAGGTGTTGGCATCTGTTTCTCAACGGATGCCATTCAAGGACATGTAAAAATAAATGTCTGTGAATAGGAGAAGTTCACACAAGTGCATTGTCTTGATGTTGAAAAAAAAATAGAGCAGACTCTTCTTTTCTTCAACAACACATGTGTTTAACGCGCTTCAACGCAGTGGACATCAAGGCAAGGTAGAACCAATACCTTATAGAGCTTACAAACTTAAACTAAAAAAAACCTGCAATTCATGTTAATGTACTATGCCAACGCAAGAAAGCGCACTTGCGTTAAGTCATGTCCAACGCACACATTTCCTCGTGAATGCGCCTTTAAAAGAGAACGATGGCCCAACCTTTTTTAGGCCGTAGTTCTCTTTAGGGCCACAGGAGGACATATACTGATGTCCTCCTGTGACCCACAACTCCGCATATAACGGGCTATATACTGTAGAGCCGACCTGTAACAGCTTCAGTGTCACACCTTGACTCTAATTATGGGGATGAGTGTATTTCACTCTCCCCCAAATTCTCCTTTAAGGTGCACACTGAAAAGCATTCTGCAAGACAAACTGTAAACTATTCTATATTGTAATATATTTCATACCTGAAAAAAATTGGTGACACCTTTAATACTAATGTCTTGTTTTTTTATTTCCCTTTGTATTGTATATTTACAATTGTAAGAGACTGTATTGAGTTGTAGCTGTACAAATAATTTTTCCCCCAAACCCTGACAAATACGGTTGTGTTTTATTACTCTTGGCATAAGTATGTAAGGCTTCAAATTTGTCTGAATGCCTAGAAATCCTTTGCCAGTTGACAGTTACTGTGATCCCATAACATGTTTCTACATTGCAGTAGACCAGCCAGAGATTCATCTGGAAGCTGTAGTTTGAGAGCTAAACAATACCACAGCCCCATGGGGATTATGAAGTCTAAGTTTGTGTTCTCTGTTTGGTAACACTGAAATCGCTGTCTTTATATGGGAGTATATTTATACGAAATATGGAAAGTAAAAAAATATGTGCTTTCAGACATTGAACATTTTTTTTAGTTATGCTAATTTTAATTTATTCATATTTCATTTATTTTATTCTTTATATGACAAAAAATTCCCAGAGGCACACTTCACATCACATCCACAATCTTGATTATGCTATCACAGCTATACAAGTGTGCACATAAGAATGCCACCTTAAGCAGAGGCACGTTGACTTTGGACTGTTTGAAAAAACTCACACACGCATGAAGAGAATTTAGAAACTTTATGAGGGTGGAGTGCCTTCTGTGATATCCTATGATCACAGTGCCACAAGGCCAAAGTTCTTCCTCCATGCCATTCTGTTCCATAATTTGTATGCTGTCACCAATTAGCAGTATGGAGGGAAATTTGTCATAATTGCCCATGGCAACCAATCAGCTTCTATCTTTCAAACTTAACTGAGCAAACTGAAGATAGAAACTGATTAGTTACTATGTGTATCTGCTCCACATTCCGTCTGCTCGTTTTGATACATTTCTCCCATTGTGTATAGACTTGTATAAAATTCTAGATGAACCGGCTTTCACTTATTCTTCCCTTTCTTGTTTTGTTTTTCTAGCTGCAAGATGTGAAAAACCAGTTCCACAAGGCTTACAATTTTATTGACCTCATTAAAACAAGGAATATCCGTATTGTGACATTTTTATCAATTTTACTCTGGTGGGTAACAAAATTTCAGGCATTGATAAACAAACTAAATTTCCCACTGCAAAATGTTGGTTAGTTAGCAAGTTTGGGGAGAGCAAAATGATAACCTCATCTGTAGTCTGCTGCTCAGTCAGCAAACTGGGGGAAGGTCAGTGACAAAGCTGTATTGCCTGTCTGCAGTAAAGAATCGTAGGGTTACTAACTTGGCTATTCTGTCCAGTAGGAGATGTCTGGATCACCTGGATCTGGAAACTTACTAAAAACAAATGTACTTATCTTTTAAGAGTTTAGACAGTTCACTGATAAGTATTTCAGCGGTATATTTGGTTAATTCCTTGGAGTCCAGCTTGGAGATGTACTGAAGTAAGAACCAGATGTAAATGAACAGAGTCCCTTCGCACTCCTCACACCGCTCCCGGCCCATAAAATATAATTTAAATAAGTCCATTTTATTTCGACAAAGTCACAGTGAAAACAGCCAACGTTTCGGGGCCATGCAGGGTCCCTTCATCAGGGCAAAAGGATTTGACCTTTTGCCCTGACCTTCCTAAAGTAAGAACCCACTTTACGTAGCTGACCTCCATAATATGATTACCAATGTCAAAAAACACATGTTGATGTTTGGATTGAATGATACACATTCAGAAAATGTGGAGGTTATGAGTATCTTGTATCTTGAAGCAGATGTCCAACATAGAACAACAAACTTTCTTTGTATGTTAGTAGATGTTTCAACTGTATTGTATCGTGTTTGCTTTCTTTTACACTTTGATCCCCCCTTTTTGTTGCGTTTATTTCTGTTTAATCTTAATTTTCCTAAAATCAAAAAAAAGACACTTTAATATTTTTCATGCATGCTCTTAGGTAAGTATTCCAAAGCAGCTTCTTCGGGTTTAGAATCTAAAATGCTGCTTGGATGAGCCGCAAAACTTCTTATTATACAAAACGTTCAGTTGCATGTGACCACTTAATACTAGTTAAAGGAGTTGTAAAGCCCCAGCATATACTGTACAATTATAACATCATCACTGTAATAGGAATACATACTAGAGGTTTTTTTTTTTATAATGAAATCAAATCTTATTAGAAAAAATCACTTTTATGTAGTGAATGCTGCCTTCTGTCTGCCCGTCACTTTCATCAACTTCCTGGACTTCCAGTGTGCTTTACTGCTGCGGCTTAATGGGATGCCATCTTGATTTCTCAAGACTGCATTTCCCATCATGCATTGCTTCCAGCAAACAATGATAGTGTTACATTGTGGGACGTTCAGACAGCAGTCTTAGTTAGAGTTGTGACACAGCAAGTTCATATTCATAGGGCTGAGTGAAATTGCATCTCTGAATTGAGGAAGTACATCCTATGTGTATCGTAAGTAAGTTTACAAACGTCTATAGCAAAAGCTGGAATATAACTTATGGAAATGCAGCATAGAAATATATATTTATTTTTAGTTTTGGCCTTAGACACCCTTTAATATATACAGTGACATTTTTTTTTGCATACAGCTTCATTGGCAGTAACAGCCAAAGACCCATTAACGGAATCACTGAGTCTTACCAGTGTTAAATAGGCCACTAACTTCCTTTTTTATCTGCATGCTGTTACATTTCTACATTGTTCTTTTTTCAGAATGCTATTTATTGCTCAGTCATTAACCACTACACCTCCAGACTATAAATATATGGTGTGTTAGTCATTTGTATCTTTTTTTCTTGTCTTGTTTACAGTAAGGCCCAACTCCAGCCAAAATATTTATTTCTCTTTGGTAGAGGAAGTAATGACTTCCTGCACCAGTGATGACCAGTCCCTTCATTTCTTGTTCTGCTATTAGGGGCTGTCAAGGGGACGGAAAGTGAGGCAACATCTCTTTAACAGGGTCACAGACAGCACTGAAACATTGACAGACATTTGTTTTCTAAATATATCCCAAAAAAAGGTTTGGTGGGAGTTGACTTTTATTTAGCATTGAGTTACTGAAAAAGGTTTAACTTTGTGTCACCTTTTAAAACATATATTTCACAGGATGATTATATCTGTGGGATACTTTGGCTTATCACTAAACACCCCTAATTTGCATGGCGATCCTTACTTGAATTGTTTCCTGTCTGCTATCATTGAAGTCCCTGCTTATGTCATGGCATGGGTGCTGCTACGAAGATTCTCTCGAAGATACTCCACGTCAAGCACACTGTTCCTCGGGGGTGTGGTTCTTCTTTTCATCCAGCTTGTGCCTCAAGGTGAGATGTGCTTTAGCAGTTACATTTTATGCAGTATTTGATGTTACTTAATCTTTTTCTTTATTTGTAAAAAATCATTATTAATCAGTAATGGCTCTGCATCAATGATGCCCTGTTTAAGTAAGATTTCTAGATGATTCTGGTTAAATGAGAACTCCAAGCTAGCGTGGAGCAGGGAACAGGTGTTCTTCTGTCTTACTTCCATGCCATTTCAGGAATTGGTAAATCTAAGGGGCCTGTAAGGAGCACTTTACGTGGTTAGTGTGTTGTTCTCAGAAGTGTAAGTGAACACTTGTGACCCAGAGGTGTGCTCAGCAGCTGCTCAAGGCCCTCAAAGAAATTGAGACTCCCTGTGCGAGAAAGCTTTACAGCGCCCCTTAGTGACCACACCCCTCAGTAACCACACCCCTCCAGTTGCCACACCCATATAATAACTCCACCTATACAGTATATCACACGGTATCATAACGCCACCTATACAGTATATCACACGGTATAATAACGCCACCTGTGCAGTATATCACGCGGTATAATAACGCCACCTATATAGTATATTACACGGTATAATAACGCCACCTATATAGTATATCACACGGTATAATAACGCCACCTATACAGTATATCACGCGGTATAATAACGCCACCTATATAGTATATTACACGGTATAATAAAGTCACCTTTGCAGTATATGACACGGTATAATAACGCCACCTATACAGTATATCACACGGTATAATAACGCCACCTGTAAATTTATTATCAAAAATGATCATACATAATTACAATGAAGCATTTTTTTTAAACTTTTTTATTTACTGTTCCTTTAAGAAATACCCTATTTAAATAATAAAAGCCAAAACAGACCTTAAGCAGTACAGAGCATTTATAAAAAAGATTATTTACTAGATCTTACTAGAAAAAAGATTTTCCATCCGCTGCCCGCTTCCATGGATTCTTCCCATCCTTTGTCTTCTCAGTCCGCATGGTGCCAGGAAGGGGGTCTAAACACCTGGTCTTGAAGTGGTTAATGACACAGTGATGACACAGGGAATGATGAGTCCCGCGTTGGAGGGACGCCGATCTTGGGGTATAGGAAAAGCACTCGGAGACTCACTCAGGACCGACCTTTGGGGACAGAATTTGTGTCGGTCGCCTGGAGCACATGTTGCTATGCCCGCACACCCCAAAGGCCGGCCCTGAAAAACATGTCAATCTTCAAAACTGCACTGTCATGGTGCGACCATAAAAATATTATATTTTTTGGCCCCTTGTCATAAGACAGTTCATTTCCTTAGTGAATGCTGTCTTGAAGCTAACACGATTTACATATATACTCGTCAGCTGGGTAGTGGTAATTAAATCAAAGGTGGGTTTGTTGTGCTTCCCCAGCCGGGGACCTCAACACAGTCAATTCCCTTCCTGGGACTTCCTGGACAAATGGTCTCTAGGTGGGTTTTGTCACCAGACTGGGAAAAGTGTCACATCACCTTGTGTGTATTTCAATGTTCAAAATGCTTAAGAAAGGTCATATCTCATAACTCCTGTCGCATACATTATATGATCGTACAACCTTCAGCGAAAGAACGGTGGCACAAAGGTGAGCCGCTTGATACCAAACATCAGAGGTTTACCATACAGTATTCTGATAATTGGGTTACTTTAAGGTATTTCTGGTTCTGTTAGCCGTACAGTGCCGAAGTTAGGACTCTGCAGATAGCAGAACAATAGTTTGAAACCAGAGCCATCACTTTCGGATAGTTCATACCTGGAAACAGTTCAACTTATGAGGGTTCCAAGATGATGAATAGAAAAATTATACCTGAAGACCCAGGTGTTAAAAATCAGTCTCCAGCCCCTTCCATCTGATTGGCTGATCTCAGGTGGTGGTTTTGATCTTCATACTATAATAATGGAGATCTGAAACCGACAAATTGTCACATTCAAGGGGTCCATTCACACATAGGAGTGTGTCCACGTTTTTCTATCCAACCCAGGAAGCAGGATTAAGCAAAATCCATGTTTTATCCCTTTTTATTTTCATAGTGCTTGCTTGTATGTTTGTGTGTCTCACTTTGTAACATCTAATTTTTGTAACCACCTTTTTCTATGCGCTGCCCGTCTAGGGTTATTAAATATAAAATTAATAAGCTGGTTTTTGATTGCTCTAAAAGAACGCACGAATCTAAAGAGACTGTTGTGTGTCTGTTGCATGTGTATAGTTGATTGTATCATTGGTGTCTTGAAGCTCGGTTGTAAGTCATTGCAAGGCAGGGATCTGTGGGTGTGTGTGGGCAGTGGAAGAAGTGGGTACGCCAAGGTTCTAGCTTAGGGCAGCGGTGGCGAACCTATGGCACGCGTGCCACAGAGGGCACACAGAGGCCCCTCTGGTGGCACGCGAGCATAGGTCCCGGTTACAGTGACCCACACGCTCCAGGTGCAGGTCACTGTAAAGGCATGTTAACTTTTTAAAGATGGCCGCTGCGAATAGCGGTGGCCATCTTTAAACCTGGCAGGTGCTCAGATTCTATTTAATATATTGCCGAACCAGCAATATAATAAATCAGGGGTGCCCCTTAGGTCGATCACGATCTACCATTGATCGCAAATCGATCCCTCGTAGATCAACATGTCCTGTCCTTCTGACGTGGGGCTTCTCTGGATCCCCGCTGCTCTCCCCCATTAGACCTCTGTGCAGGACAAACACTGGAGCGATCAGCTGATCACTCCAGTGTTTGTAAATAACTGGGGACACATAGTACTATGTGTCCCCAGTTATGAATGAACAGGACGTGATATACATCGCAGCCTGTTCATTCATGAATTTCAGCTTGAGTTTCAGCTCCTCGACATTGAGAAATCAAGAGTTAAAAAAAATTAAATTTAAAATATATTTTTTTAATGTGTGTGTTTTTTGATGTGTGTGTTTTAATGTGTGTGTTTCATTATGTGTGCGATGTGCGCATGTGTTTTTAATGTGTGTGATATATATGTATGTGTGCTTTCTTTTTTTAATGAGTGCGTGTTTTATTGAGTGTATAAATGTTTGAATATGTGTGTTTCCCTATTTTGCCTAAGGCAGTGATGTTGAATGTTTTTTAAAGCCCAGCGCCCAAACTGCAATACAATACTATACTTATTTTCAGCGCTGGCACTTTGAGATAAATTGATTTTGCTTCACAGTTTGGGCACTCGGGTTCAAAAACATTCGCCATCACTGGCTCAGGGGATCTTAGTGGGCGTGAGGAAACCACTTAGGCTGCCACACACCCATTAGAGTACACTAGATTGTATGCAAGATTTGCATCTGCCTGTGTGTGTGTCCAGACAGCTAGAGTTGAATGAGTGTCCTTCCAGTGGTGGCCAGCGATAGTGCAGGAGACTGTGAGTGGAGATGCTAACTCTAGAGGTAATTGTGTCTGGTTTAGCTAACCTGTAACTGCTAGAGAGAGGTGTGTGTGGTCTGCATAGCCTGTGTGCCAGTCTACTTGAGCGCAGAGTGTACGGACTAGGAGAGTCCAGGGAAAGGTTCCCCACGAGCCTGTAAGTTGTGGGTGGTGGCAGCTTAGATTAGTTTATTTGTGTCCCGGTGCGTTGGAAGATCTCCGAGGACGAGTGAAGGACGGCGATAGCCTGCATGTCATGCGGCCCTTCCCGCGTCCTCGTACCCCCTCTGCGCCCTCCCCCGGCCCGCCGTACGTGACATGCACACGCCCTTGAAATGGCGAAAAGCTATAGTACCAAAAATTGCCCATATATACGATGCTTTAAAAGCCTTTGCCGCTCATCAATTTAGAGTTAACAGTGATTTGTGGCCCTGGATGCTCTGCAAAAGACCTTTTAAACTTGAAGTCAAGGCAGATATAAAAGACAGAAATTAATGTAGGTCAGTCTTTATTCATGTGTAATTGGAGGCAAGCTTATTAGAAAGAGTTTGAAATAAAGTAAAGCTATGACCTGCAAAGGTTCACTAATACTTGTTGATCTTTCCAGTGAAGTCCGCACTATGCAGCTTTATGCAGTATGGCAACAACACTTCTGTACTTCTAGTGAATTTAGAGCAGCATTGTCACCCTCATGTAGGCTGTACACTTAAATGAGAAGGTTATGCAGGGTCAGGGCTATCAACAACTGCTTTCTGGATTGACAGCACTGCCTCTGCTGCTGGGACCCTTACACTGTAAGCTGCAGTGTCTGTGAGGAAGAGTCTGAGGCTTGCAAATGATCTGGTCTGCTTTGGTTCACCTGTAGTTTTCAGCCTTCTCTCCAGCGCTTCTCTGCTGCGGCTCTCCGATCCAGTGCTGACTCCTCTGTCCTTGCTGATACTTCCTGTCCCACGGTGTCTGCATCCGGGTGCATGTGTCCATATACTTACCTTGTGTTTCTTCTCGTCTCCCGGCCGAAAATCCGAACTGCGAATGGGCCCGCCCCAAGATACTTTGCGGCCGCCTGAGAATTTTCAGATTTTGGGACGGGAGCGCGCGGGAAAACACAGGTAAGTATTAACCTCTGTTAAAGCGTTTTTTTAAATAACTTTTTGCATATATCTACTGCTTAGTAGCAGTAGATATATGCAAAAAAACATGAGGGTTTAGAAACCCTTTAATTCGCAAGTGCAGTAACCCATAGCAGCCAATGTAATTTCATCATACATTGGTCTGACGTCAGCATAGTAGTTTATTTCTAATAAGCTGCACACCTTTGAATTAGCACTTAAATATGAGCAACTCTTTATTGAAAAAGGTGAGTGTGTAAGGCAGTTGACCAGCCATCAACAGTCCAATTTCAGTTGACCTCTGACCCGGTGATTGACTCAGCCAGCCAAATTCTGTATTTCTGTTCTGACAAGTTTCTTTAAAAAGCAAAAACTGAAAAATGCATGTGCGGCATTCCTGTTGTTCAAAGAAGTTAATCATCACACTAAAATGTAATAGGAAAGCTTAGAAGATGAAGAAGATTTAAGATTTAGATGATAAGATTTAATCTTTAAAAAATACATATTCATCTACCTTTTATATCTTTGGAATAATTGTTTTGACATGTGCTGTTCCCTAAAGGCAACTTCAACTTCTATGTTTTTTTCATCATATGCTTTGCAAAAATTGTCTACAGAAACTCCACTGTTTACTGGATTTCATTATTGTGTAACCCCAATTGTGTCTCTTAGAGGATTATTTGTGGGATTAGTGTAGGTGTTGTGGGGCTGATTAATAAAAAATGACTTGAAAGTGTCCATCTTGTTTATACTGACCACACAGAACTTTGAGTGTAACGCACATAAAGAAGATAAAGTAACATTTGTTTGCTTGCTTTGTAGAGGATTTCCTTTGTTTTTCTGTATTATATTTGGGCTCTGTTATGTGCAGAGTGAAGGAAAATCGTAACCTGTAACCATTGTATATTTTATTTCAGAGCTTGGCATCTTGTCCATCGTGTTGGTCATGCTTGGGAAATTTGGGATTACATCAGCCTTCTCCATGGTATACGTGTACACTGCAGAGCTCTACCCTACAGTAGTAAGGAACATGGGAATTGGGGCCAGTTCTATGGCATCCAGATTGGGCAGCATTTTATCCCCTTATTTTGTTTATCTTGGTAAGATTTGTTCCACTGAATTTTTTTAGGAACTATTTTGAGTCACATTTGTCTTTGTCAGCTTGACCAGCTTTGTAATTGTGTATGTAGCTATGCAATGAATGTCAAAATGAATTCAAACAGAAGGCAGAATTGAGCAGAATAACTCTTCAATGGGCCCTAAATGTAAAAATTACTAATTCACTTTGCTATTTAACTTTCCAATAATAACAGCAGCTACAATATTTTATTGATAACTTATAAAAGTGTTCCCATTCCAGGATGGGAATGCTTTTTTTAGTTAATAACTACGTTCTTGTGAATTTGTTCAATTTAAGAAAGAAACCTCCAGCTGAAGCCGCTACTGCCCATCCTGTCTCGCCCACACATCACAAACAGACAAGACCGCGGGAGCCGGCCGAGGTGAAAAGGACATCATACAGCACAGCAGGTAAGTGAAACCACAACAGTCTTACCCTCCCTGTCTGACAGGCTGCACAGTATATGGAAAATCCGGCTTCCTCTCATGGAAACAAAGTTTGTCCTTCCCCAAGGGGACACCCTTGCACGGGGCCGAGTCTTGGAGACTTCCCAGGGGAGAGAGGCTGAACTCCCCTGAGGCCAATACGAAATCAATCAGTTGGCAAATAAAGAAAAACTTCTCAGTAACATACAAACAACCCTGTCCTAGGGGGACAGGAACAAAAAGACTGGGGAAGTCAGCAGGAGGAGGGGCTTTTATAGAGAGGGTTAGGCCTTGTTTAACCCTTTTGGTTCCTGTCAGCTAGGGTAATTGGATCTAAACCCATTTGTCAGCGCTGCCATGGATATGGCCAGGAAACATAATTATGAACGCAGGTTTAGGGCTGCAACAACTAATCGATTAAATCAATAATAACCGATTATGAGAATAGTTGGCAATCTCATCAAAGATTAGTTGGTTGGGGGAGAGAGATTTTTTTTTTTTTTACAACCAATCGATTAGTTGAAAACATAATCGGGCAACTAATTGATTATAAAAATAATTGTTAGCTGCAGCCCTACACAGGTTGCTGGGTAGAATTCACTGGGATTGAGCAGGTTCACACCATTTTTCAGATCAGATCTGGTCTGAAAAATGGTGTGAACCTACCCGCAGTTCCAGTTAATTCCAGACCAGGCAAAATAAGACAAGCAGTATTTTTTGGTCTGGTCTGGAACGGAATGCACTGGTGTGAACAGAGGCCAGGAATAGCATAGGGATACATTAGGATGCATTTTGGGTCCGGAAACAATCTTGTCTGGTCTGGAGATGATCTGGATGTGGTGTGAATGGGTCCTAAAGGAAGAAAGCAGACTGCTGGTTAAGATGCAATGTTAGCAAGGGATGAATGCAGGTTGCTGGTAGAGATGCACTGTTAGCAAGGGATGAATGCAGGTAGCTGGAAGGAATGCACTGTGAGCAAGGGATGAATGCAGGCTGCTGGTAGAGATGCACTGTTAGCAAGGGATGAATGCAAGCTGCTGGGGGGGATGCACTGTGAGCCAGGGATGAATGCAGGTTGCTGGAAGGAATGCACTATGAGCAAGGGATGGATGCAGGCTGCTGGTAGAGATGCATTGTTAGCAAGGGATGAATGCAGGCTGCTGGGAGGGATGCACTGTGAGCAAGGGATGGATGCAGGTTGCTGGAAGGAATGCACTGTGAGCAAGGGATGGATATGGATGCAGGCTGCTGGTAGAGATGCACTGTTAGCAAGGGATGAATGCAGCCTCCTGGGAGGGATGCACTGTGGGTAAGGTGTCAATGCAAGCTGTTGGGGGGAATGCAGTGTGAACAAGGCATGAAAACTAGCTGCTGGAATGTATAAATGCTGGCTACTTGCAGAAATGCACTGTGAGCAGGTAATGAGGTAGGCAGCTTCTTGCAGTGTTTCTGGTTTGTAACAGAAATGGAGACACATTGTTCACTTTGTCTCTATGTCTATTTCCTCCTTGGATCACTTTAGAAATATATAAAGCATAAAGGTGCAAGAAGAAATTTGTGATATATCCAGCAGTATAGTTATGTATGTAATTGTAAGATTTATAAGATCTAGAACAGCCTTGGCCTCTTTAAATCAGTTTATAAAAGTGGCAAGCCCAGGTAAAAGTGGTAGTGAGGGAGTGTGACTTGTCTGATCTAAAGAATGTTTGCAAAATAATACTATTTGTGATATTTTTCCCTTTACTTTCCCAGGTGCCTATGACAGACATCTCCCTTTTGTCTTGATGGGCAGTCTAACAGTTCTTGTGGGGATTTTTACCCTCTTCCTTCCAGAGACTAATGGCATGCCTTTGCCGGATACTATTGAGGAGATGCTCAGAGTGAAAGGGTATGTCTGTTTCTTTGCATGACAGCGGCACATTTCAGTCCCACAGACCTGTCATATGTGCGTTGTGTGTAGTTGACAGTCAAATACAATAAATTGCATAAATTCAAAGGCTTATTATAATCTGTGTGCACTAGAAAGCTCGTTTCACTCTGTCAGATATATATTTCCCTATATATTACAGCCACATGATTAGGGTTAGTGTAAGTTAGTGATGTCTAGTCTGGACAGTTATTCCAGGACTAACTGACAATCCCGTGTTCCTGACAAATCTGATTTTGTTAGCGATGGCAATAAAGATATTTTTTCTAAATCATATTTACCGTATATTTCTTTCCACGTAGGTTAAAGTTGTATTAGGATTTCATCGGAACTGTGTAAGCACTACCCTGTAATGTTATCTGCACGAGTGCCACGTGATGTGAATACTATGCCTCGGCTTTACTTCTAGACATCCTTATGATTGCCCTTTCCACCCACCCCACCTCAGAGCAGTTGTATTTCAGATCTGCACAACCCCCAATCTCTGTCAGTAAAGGTTGTCTTCCTAACTTCCTGTAAAGCCTCAGGCCCTTTAACCAGCACTGTCATTCAAAAGCTTGGGGCATAAAACACCAGTGGCTACAGGTCAACAGGCAGATTGGTACGGACATAGACCAGTTTACCCAGATGAATGTAAGACCTTACTGCTCTACAAACCACCCAATGGAGCATACTAGGCAAACTAGCTGCCACCTCCTTGGTTCCACACATTGGCATTCATTTTTCACATTGAAGGGTATATATCAAGACTGGAGCAGACAGAATCTGGAGCAGTTGCACATGGCAACCAATAAGCTTTTGTCTTTCACTTGCAAAGCTTACCTGAACAAACTGAAGAGAGAAGCTGATTAATTGCCATGGCCAACTGCTCCAGATTCTGTGTGCCCTCATTATATGTAGCGTGTGCTACAGTTCCTCTTTTCTCCAGCAATCGGTTAATGGATGCAGAAGTAAGCTGGAAACATATACTCATGGTTTTCTATCTTCAGCTATTAAAATATATATGGGATAAGATTAATATACCATTTACTGTATGCATATGGGATAACACTGGTGTATAGTTGATTTGCACTAGAGTTTTGCACCCCCTTGACAAACATAATGATTGGCACAACTGAATGACTGAATAGCAACCACCAGCAAATCTGACATGAACTGTGGACGCCACCTCGAAAGACCTGCACACCCCCAGACACCAACCTGCTGCACATCACCTGATAACACACATTGTAACCGTCCCCTTCCAGTAGCTACTTCCCCCAAATCCTAGAACTTTAATCCCCCTCCTGGGCTGATGACCCCCAGCTAACTCCACCACCGGCTACCCACAAACTTGGAGATAGGGTGAGGAAACCTCGTACCTCCAAAATGATTTGTAATCACCCATTAAACAACTTGGTATGCAAAGTGTTTAGGCGACATTTTATTTTGACACAGTGACAAATGATGCGTCTGACATACTGAATTGTGCCAGGGGACGTCAGCTGTTGTTTGATTACCAATGTGTCATGAGACTGCCACGTTTGAGCAGAGCGAGGCACACGGGGAGGGTGGGGGTTATCAAAACTGGAGGAGACAGTATCTGGAGCAGCTGTGCATGGCAACCAATCGGCTTCTCTCTTTCGTTTTCAAAGATTGAAGGAAGAAACTGAAGAGAGAAGCTGATTGGTTACTGTAGGCAACTGCTCTCGATTCTGTCTGCCCCAATTTAATAAATCCCCCCCATGTTCTACATTATTACCATTCAGCAGATGGCCACAAACTTGCTGGTGTAAATCATATTCTGTAAAACTATTTCTGCTCCTTTTTCCATATTTAAGAGCAAAATGTGAATGTTTCTCCTTTGGGCAGAGCAACTATTTTTAAGATTCAGAAGAACAATAAATACTGTTTGGAAGATTGCCCTAAATGACAGTATCCTGTTTGTCAACCATATTCAAGTTTTGATGGGTTTGTTTTGTGTTTGTTTCATCTCCAGGTTTAAGTACAAAAAAGGAATTCCAGTTTCAAGGCAAAATAATGGGAATATGAAAGTCCTTTCAAACACGGCATTATAAGACTACAAGCAGGCGTCCTTCCTACACATATGGGATTATTCATCTTGACGAGTTTCTGTAAAGATCTACATACATTTCTGTTCACTCTTATTCAGCAAAAGTTGTAAGAAGCCAGTGCTACTCACAGTGCCTTCAACTCTTCCAGAAGGTTTATGGTTTGGATTATTTCCTAAGTCCCATTATAAAATGAAGTCAAGATTTGCACCTGTTCATTATTTAAGAATGTGAATGAAAAGCTGCTATCGGAAGATGTAGTACTTCCATGATAAGTTCAGTAATGTCCGTTATGTTCCTATTGTACCTTCACGCTGGATTAAAGCAGGTCCATACAGCCAACCAAGAGGAGGATAGTTTATGTTTGAACCAACAGGAAATAAGTGCTTCAAGCCGATGAATGTACAATGAATGCATCATATTGAATACCTTTTCATTGTGTTACCAGAAAGTATTTTTTTGTATCACATGAATGTGTGGAAAGGTTTGTACATTCCAATAGCATTTCACAGTTCTTTTTCAGTGTGGGTATCTTTGATATTGTGTGGGATAAGCATCTATTTAGATGTTTGATTTCTGTGTTAGTAACACTATGGAGACCACACCATATTAGTTCTACCCCCAATGCACTACGAGAAGTTAAAAATGTTCACAGGTTATATTTTTTAATTTGAACAGTCCCTTGTTTGTAAACAGTATCCTGTTCTCTCTTGTGTTGGGGCTTTTCTGTTACTTTGGCTGCTGTTTACTTAAAGCTGAACTCTGGGCACAAAATGGTTCACCTAAATAAATGTGTCTGTAGCCACAAAGGATACAAATCCACTTTCTGTGCACTACATGCAAACCCCTATAGAACAATGAGAATGTAGTGCTGACATCATGAAGGATACATAGAGGGCGGACACCAGACCCGTCACCCTGCACAAGAGAGCAGCGCTAACTGGTCTTTATTACAGGGAGCCCTGCACAGAGGCAAAGTTCAGGAGTTGTTTCATGCTGGATTACTGGATTGAACTGAAGAATTGAATGAAGATAAAGGAAATCAAGGTTCAAGTAAGAATGCACAATGCCTCTTGTATTTAAACAATTCCAGAAAACAGTAGGTCCCCCTGCACTCCTTGTGGCGCTTCCGGTCCAAGTAGCAATAGTGGTGCTCGCAGTGACAATCACGGATGGCGCCGTGCACAACAGTCAATGAAGGATAGAAATCGCCAGCACTCAGCAAATTAAATTAATAAAATGTCCATGTATTTGGACTAAACGTCACACATATCGCATAATCCAACGTTTCGGGACCGCGTAGGGTCCCTTCATCAGGGCAGAGATGTGTGTCTATCTATTTAAACAAAACTCGTTTTGCCCAGAATTCTGCTTTAAATAAAAGGAATTAGTTGTATTAATGGGTTTTCTGACTGCACTGGACATTATTATTACATAATTTATTCAATATAATTATTTTTTCTTAAATAAAATATTACCATTCTTATAATTAATTATTTTCATATTTAGAAACTATAGGGAAGGATTTGCAAAACATGTGATTTCATGTTTTCTCAGGTTTGGCCAAGAAATTGTATACACTAGATGAGGCTTGAACAAATCTCACCCAAAACTAGGAGCCAGCTTTACAAACCTAGGAGCCAGCACTACACAACTTGCCCATGGCTATATAGGTAGCGGAAAGATACATACTGTTAGGCAGTAGTTACAGTTTAAACAAGACTATACCTAGTGCATGATATGACTTATATTGCATTAGGTATAAGACAATATGAATGTACATGAGATCACTCCGAAAATAATGTTCCATACGAGCTGTAATGTCAGCCACAGCAGAACACATGTACAGCACATCCAGCCATTCAACCATGTCTGGTAACAGTGCCTCACTCCAGCGCACCCTGCCATTACTCCGCAGTGCTGTCCCTCCTGTGGCATGGGACCACTGTTACCTACCAGTTGCAGTGTTGCTCTGTTCCTCAGTCTGGCCACACCCCACCACTGTAGAGCATCGAGTGCCATTCATAGTGTCTGCCTCCCAGACAAAAGAAGTAGCCCACCTTAGTTATGTACCTGTCTGAGACATAGCCTGATATCCCCCATATCTATGCTCCAGCTCTCAATGACCCAGTTGCCAGAATTGTTGTTGTTTTTTTTCTAAGTTGCCATGGCAACCATGAATTATCCATCTCTGCACTAGATAGCTTTGCATTAAATGTACTGTTGGATAAAAGACCTATAGGGTTCCCTGAGATCCTGGCCAGTAGGAGATCTCACTCAAATGACTGCTGTGCAATGTGAACTAGTTATTCAGGGTCATTGACCCAGACAACTTTAAAGCTATTAAATAAGGATGCAGCGATACCATTTTTTTGGTATCGAGTACCGATATTTTTTTACAGTACTCACCGATACCGAGTACCGACACCGCATCCTGAGATAGCGTGGGCCCAGCTTCCCAGGCAATCAGGAAGCCGGCTTCACACTCCTTCGTGACTGGCAGTGCCGCGAGGGAGCATGGAGCCGGCTTCCTGAATGGTCAGGAAGCCAGACTGCCCGCAGTGTGAAGCTAGCTTCCCAGCCAATCAGAAAGCCAGGCAGGGGGTAATGACCTGCTGCCCGGCTTCCTGATTTGTGAGGAAGCCAGGCTGCCCCGCAGTGTCGCTAGGCAGCGTGAAGCTTGCTTCCCAGCCTATCGGGAAGCTGGCAGGCAGGTCATGACCCGCAGCCCGTCTTCCTGATTGGCCAGGAAGCCGTCTCCATGCTCCCTCGTAGCACTGCCGGTCAGAAGGAATCTCACTCTGACCGGCATTTACGGTATCGGGGTAAGTATCAGAGCATTTGGGCGAGTACTCGCACTCGTCCAAATGCTCAGTATCGGTATTGGTGCATCCCTACTATTAAATGAGCATGAAAGAGGAGAGATCGACAATGGTAGGCCGAATCTTTCCTTGAGTACATATTTGCTTTGAAGGAAGTATTCAATTGTAATATGCACTTTGCTCTAAGAATGCTTTTTTAGTATCTTCCTTCACATAACCTTGAGTGGTACAGCTAAACCTTTTTATTCAACTAGATTTATGAACTTAGCAGCATTAAGAATATTAATTCTAGCTTATATTAAAGCTTACGTTTGCCACAACCGCTTATGTTAAGCCGACAGTCGGCTCTACAAGTTTAAACAGGGTCCCGGCGGCAAAAGTCACCGGGAGTCTGTTTAAACAGCCCCGATGCTGGCGACGTACACTGTACGTCGTCAGTCACGAAGGGGTTAATATACAAATTATTTGTTTCGTTATTGCATGCATTATCTGTTTATCAGCGTCATGTAAATATGTGCCACTTGTTTTTTAGTTGATTATATTTTTGTCTTTTATATATGTACAATGAATACAATTACACGTCCAGCATGAGTTTTACATCATTCACAGAAATTTTGGTGCCAAAAATGTTGACGCAAGCCTGTGGTGATGTTACTATATCGCCCAGTGGATGCCTTACTTAGTCTCAGCTTTCTATTAAAACACCTAAGGAACCCTGATAACTGGGAAGCTTTATTATACTAATACTGACTTTAGTTAGGAAGTTGGCACTTTAGCCAATTGGTTCCCACGGCTTAGTACTAGTGACTGCTCATAACACTAATATCCTCCTAATGATCCATGTGAGGGAATAACAATAGTAAAGTGGCCTGGATTTCAGGGTGCTCTTAGTTTACTAATATCATTACAGGTATGCTTTATTCTTTTTTTTCTAAAACCATATGGGACTGATTTATAAACGTTCCAACCAGCTATATGGTGGGTGAATGCCACTCGCAGGGCATTCCCACCGCTTGATGGAGCATGGGAAATTCCACAGTATTTGCCCAGGTTATGGTTGGGCGGAAGATTTATGAATCATCCCCTAGGTGTAGGTGTGTTGGTAATGTTAAAAATGAAGGCAACCTTAAAAAATACTTTTCTGTTTGATATGTTAACTCTTAGAACACGACGTGCTAGGGTTTTCTGTCATTCCAGATGGCATCCAACATTAGGGCCCCATTAGGTTGTTGAGGCTAATTAAACATAGAACGTGAAGATAACATAGTACTAAATCATTAAGTGTTGGAGAGGTTGGAAAGCTGATGTCAGATGCACAAGAGGGATCACAACTCAGAGAGGTCCTTAGTTCCCTCATCACATTTTTGCCATGGGGCACCGTGATCTGTAGTTACGCCCCTGACCTTGCCGTTTCCACCCTGGGAATACCATTGACAAGGTGTTTAGGGATTAGGTCACACTAACTTTTAGAAATATCGCTTACAATTTGATGTTATTATTATTTTAAAAACAACTCTGTCACTGTTCAATATTTCATCAGTGAAATTATTTTTCTTCAATGTCTTGCAGGAAAGTCTTCTCATTGTTTTAGGTCTACTTTAAGCCCAAATCGCCTTTTACAGTTATGTGTACACATAGTAATAGCCATGTATGTTTGTAAATCACTTGTAAAAACAAAATGATTTTTAAGCCTGTGATTTCTACTGATTTACTTTGTATTTATTTATAATGTTCTTTAGCACTGTTTTTTAAATACTTGAAGTGTATATAAGCACATCAATGCAAAATGTGTGTAAAAATGTATGTTCTATACCTGATTTTAAAAGTTTAAATACTGCAGTCATGTAGCAGATTTTGTAATGAAACAAATGTAATAAATTATATTCCTTTCAGAAAAAATATGAGCGTCATTTCTTGGGAGGAGGGACTCGGCTTACATAAAAAAAACCACAAAATAATCCTAAATACTTTTTTCTTTTTCAGAACATTAGTTCCAAATGGTATGTGTACAATGTAAGACATATGTGAGTGAACAGCAAAGCTGAATTAAAAGCAGGACTCCAGGCTCACTGCTAAAACATCACTGAAACACACATACTGTATATGATATGTATGTTTTACATTCCAACGGATATGTCCTTCTCTTCAGCTAGGTTTGAGATTTACACACCTCTGCCACACTGCACAGACAGTCAGCTGACACTCCTGATTCATGGTGTCATCCGTCTGCCTCCTGGTTGCCCATTGGACAGTGAATCAATTTCATCATACTACTAATTCAGCATTCATTCAATAGGCAGGTGCCACAGGAAGCTGTAAAACTGAACTTGGAAGTAGTGGAGTCATCCTTCGAACTGTACAGTGTGACAGATGTGTGTAAATGATAATCCTTTTGG